AGCACAGAGCCTGATGCAGGGCTTGAACTCGTGAACTGCGAGATCATGACCTGAGCCGAAGTCAGACGTTTAACTGACTGAGCCCCCAGGCACCCCGTAATGAGGTGATACACATAAAGTCTTTAACTGAATAGCGCCTGGCCACAGTAAGTCCCCACAAATATCGGTTGGTGTTATTATGCACTTATTCTAGAGTTAGAAGAATGGGCCGTAGAATTGTTTGGCTATGCAAGTGTAGGTGTCTGCCTGCATACCCCCGTCTGGTCCCGAGGCCTCAGGAGGAAGGTGTTGCAAGGTCTGCTCTGTGGTTTAACTGACTTGCATAGAACCTCCTTGGTCCCTTCTCCAAGGGTGGACCAGGAGGCCCTCACCTGCTCTGCATCCTGGCAGGGAAATGTCATCAGCAGCTGACTGCTCTCTGACCCGTGGCCCTGAATCACCAAAGAACTGAACACCCCAGGGAGGCTGGTCCCTGCCCACTGGCTGATCGCTGAGAACAGGTGGGTCCTGAAGGCTGGGCCAGACCTATTTTTGGGGAGGCGAAGCAAATCCAAGCCGAGATGTTGGAGAGAATTAGAGAAAACACCCCCATCTCAGCTCCCATCTGCCAGGCTGGGGCTGGGCACGGCACCACACGAAAGCAGAGCAAGGGGGACTTGACTCAAAGCAAAATGACCAACCAAGAGGCTGGGAAAAGAAGCAGGTTCAGATCGGAGCCAGGAGCTCCTGGTGGGGTCAGCAGGGTGTTCGGGAGGCTCGGGCTTCTCTCTATGAAGGTTTGGGGACCAGAGGGGCCTGGGACATGGGCAGAGGACAGTGACCTGAGCAGAGTTTGGTGACCTGAGCAGAGGGCATCTGTTCCTGTCCCTCTCCTGGGGCAGTGAGGCTGGTGCCCCCTGGGCAGCTGAGCCCTGGGCAGGCTCAGGGCCAGTGCGGCCTCTCTGGGCGGGGTTCTCCAGTGCAAGGCATGTGAGCACAGGCTAGGGGTGGGGCCGTCAAGTTAGGACCAGCAGATATGTGTTGCTGCCCCTCCCTGGCCACACCAAGGCTTTGGCACCTTCTTCCCCACCCATCCATTCCTCTCCAGCTTCAGTCCTTTACACTGAAGTGGACTTTTAAAAATAGGTAAAGCACATGGTACACAGTGGAAAGTTCCCTGTCCTGCCCCGCCCCCCCTTCCCCTCCTCGGGGCAATATCTGTGTCCTTACTGGGATGGTGCATGGGTATGCTAGCATAGAAGTTAATATTCTCCCTTTCTGGCTTTTTCTGGTGGCAGAGATTCCTCTGAGAGTCTGAAAAAACTCACTGAAATAGGGTATATACACACACACACACAAATTAGTGTGCAATTTCAGGGGATTATAACACACTCTTGTGGCCCTTTTGATCCTACTCAGCAAGGAATTCTGGTTGTGACGTGTCTGGGTCTGATCCACATTTTCTCTCCTTAACACTGTTACCCCACATACACACTTCCCCTGCCTGCCAGGATTTGACAAGATTTCAACAAAGGAGAGCTTCTAAGGCCTTGATGGAGCAGCTTAAGCAAGCAAGCCGTTCAGTGCCTTCTTTCAAAAACTCCATTATACTGAGGCCCAAATAAAATCTAAACTCTTAGAATGGCTTGGGAGGCCCTCTACTCGTGGTGTCCCTGAACATCCCTCCTGGTCCCCTCCAGCCACGATCGCCCTCTGCCCACACAGCTCTGGCCACACCGACCTTTCTGTCACACCCAGGTCTCACCTCAGGGTCTTTGCTTAAGCTGCTCCCTCTGCTAGGAAAACCATTTCCCCTGTTGGCTGCAGTGCTGGTTCCTTCTGGTGTCCCTCCCCAGCCACTCTCGTGTGTACCCCGCTCTCGGCACCCCTTCTCGAGGGCACCATCCCATTTCATTTTCCTCAGTGCGCTTACTCTTCTGAAGCTGTCTGACTTCTGTAGCCATCTACCGCCCCTGCCACCAGGACACGAGCTCCGGGAAGTCAGAGGCCTTGCGTGTCCCACCTCTAGTGCCCAGAAGGGGGCACTCAGTAAATGTCTCTGCATTGACTAAAGAATCTTGGAGATCAGATATGAATCGTGACTCAACTCTCCATCCCATCAAAGTAGCTCCAGGCCATCCCTGGCTCCCGCTCTAGGCAAAGTTCCTGCCTCTCCCTCATTTCTCTATTCCCAGATGTCCTACCCTTTTCCCAGATCTCTGGGGCCCCTCCTTCCCAATCAGCATCTAACAAAAACTCTTTTGTGATTTTATGCCCGGGGGATTTAATCTGAGTCAATTTGGCATCTCCAGCCCTGGCTCAGCTGAGTCCAAAGGTCTGATCAGTGTTTCCAGCGGACCAGCCAGCAACTCTGTCATCTGAGGGCTCTGAGCTCCACCCCAGTGGGACCAAGGGTACTGATGAGGCCGGTCCTCGCCTCGCTCCCTGAGCTGCCATTCCTGGGCCAATAAACGAAGCCTGAACAAGTGAGAAAAGCAAAGGCTATTGATTCAAGGGCTTGCTACAGCAAGGGAAGTCAGTCAGCCATGGTCACTTGCATTTTAAAAGAGACTCCAGGGTAGGTGGAGGGGTGGTAAAGCTTTATTTATAGCAAAGAAATGGGAAAGATTCAGGTACCTGGTGCCTTCTCTGGAGGCTGTTGGCGTGCGGAAGCTGGAAGGCAGGTGACTATAAGCCAGGCATCCTGTATGACTGGTTGGGGGTGCATATTTGACTCTCTGGCTGGTCCTAAGTTGCACAGTGGACAAAAGTTAGGGAAGTTGTCAGTTCTGGCCATTTTGAGCCAACTATTCCAGAAGTTAGTGGTTAGCTTTCTGAATTGTTCCTAGACATAGTCTGACTTGTTACAAACGGGACCTATGGATTACCTGGGTGGTTTACTGTATTTGAGGAGGTGATTTCCTGGCCGGGTTTCTGCAGGCTGTGGATGTCCGAGGTCTGTTTTTCCATATGGTCTGGCCATTGTCTGTGTGTTCAGTGCAGATCAGTGTTTTGGGGACTCCTCCCTCCTTCCCTTGAACATGGAACATCCCGGGCCAGTAGAACCGTCAAGTCTTTGATCTCCTCCATCCTGCAGCTCTCTGGCGAGAGCCTTCGCGGTGCAAAGAATGGAGAGAGGTGCAGTGAGAGGGGCAAGAAGGCCTGGCGGTGAGGCACACGCACCCACGAGTCGTGTGTTGGGTTCAACGCAGGGATTCTGAGTTGAGAAGGCTTTATGAAAGGTGTGGGGTTTCAGGAGTGGGATTGCTACAGATGGAAACTGGGGAGAGACAGGGGGGACACTCTTGGAAGGGAATACGATGAGGCAGGGGGCAGGTGGAGAGACCTTAGGCTAGTCACTTCCTTTGAGTCTTAATTCTTCACTGTGTACAGCCTCTGTGAGGCAGACATGGTGTGCATGAAGGTGCTGTGAGCTGTGAAGGTTTCAGCATGAGGGAAGGCTTTGGGAAACACCTGGAAAGGGCCTCTCTTATCAGAATAAGGAGGCTGAATGTACCTAGACAGTGATAATAATAATGCCAGCAGTGGGGCGCCTGGCTAGCCCAGTCGTAGCACATGTGACTCTTAATCTCAGGGTCATGAGTTCAAGCCCCACGTTGGGCATGGAGCCTACCTAAAAAATCAGACAAACAACCAAGCACTTACTGAATTGGAGTCACTGCTCTAAGCCTGCAGAGAACCCCGGCAACAAGCCCATGAGGCAGTTACTATTATTATCTCCATATTACAGGTGAGATACCTGAGGCACAGAGCAGCTGAGGAGTTTGCCCTGAGTCACACAGTGTCAGAGGGGAGAGAATGCTTACATTGCGTGCTTTGCACAAATCAGCAGCAGCTGTGTACCCTCAAACGCTGCCTCCTGATTCAAGGTCTTTGTCCTCGGATGTGTGTCCCAATGCATCATCATCAATCAGCTATAATAAAAGTCAGCTTTCACTAAATACCAGGCATGGTGCTAAGTATTTGCATTTAACTCATTTATTTTAAAAAATTTTTAAGTTTTTTTTTAATGTTTATTTATTTTTGAGAGAGAGAGACAGAGTGTGAGCAGGGGAGGGCAGAGAGAGAGGGAAACACAGAATCTGAATCAGGTTTCAGGCTCTGCACTGTCAGCACAGAGCCTGACATGGGGCTTGAACTCACGTACTGTGAGATCATGACCTGAGCCAAAGCCAGGCGCTTAACTGACTGAGCCACCGAGGTGCCCCTTTAAAAAAATTGTTTTAAGTTTATTTATTTTGAAAGGGGGGGAGGGACAGAGAAAGAGAGAATCCCAAGTAGGCTCTGCACCTGCCAGTGCAGAACCCGATGTGGGGATCGAACTCATGAACCATGGGATAATACCCTGAGCTGAAATCCAGAGTTGGAAGCTTAACTGACTGAGGCACCCAGGTGCCCCTGTACTAACTCATTTAATCTTTGTTCCAGCCCTCTGAGGTAAGGAACTGTGATTATCGTTTCCACTTTATGGAGGAGAAAACCAAGGAGTTGCGTGGCATAGCCCATGCCTCTGACTTTGGAGTCTGCACGCCCACCACTGTACCACACGGCCTCTCTTCAATAAGCAAGGGCTGGGACTACTCACCACTCAAGCCCTGATCCACACAGTGGTCCGTGCCTAGGAGCCAACTCCACATCAGTGGTTCTTGCCTTTCTCGATCACAGACCTCTTTAACACTCGCCCCAGGAAAATGTGTGCATGCACACACACTCACACCCCTTAAGAAATTCACAGATCCCCCTCCTCCTCAAGCCTTTCCAGGGCAAGTGGGTGATGGGAAAGACTTCTGGGGTGAGTGTTTCAGCCGGGGGGATATTCTCCAGTCTGGAACAAAAGGGCATGGCTTTGAATTTTAAGAGATTTACTTTATTGAGAGAGTGAAAAGTCGGGGGCGCCTGGGTGGCTCAGTCGGTTAATCACTCTTCATTTGGGCTCAGGTCACGATCTCACCTTGGTGAGACTGAGACCGGCATTGGGATTGTCTCTCTTTCTCCTTCTTCCTCTGCCCCTCCCCTACTCACACACATGCGTGCACACACTCTCTCTCCCTCTCAAAATAAAATAAACAAACATAAAAATTAAAAAATGAAATTCCAAGGGCGCCAGTGGGCGCAGAGCCTGCTTGCGATTCTGTTGCTCCTCTCTGCCCCTCCCCCACTTGTGCTCACACTCTCTCTCTCTCTCTCAAAATAAATAAACTTAAAAAATAAAAAAGTAAATACATAAAATTCCATAGCTACTTTTATTTACTTCACTAGTGAACAGAACAAAAAGCAGTCCATCCTGAGAATCCCCATCTTTGGATCAATTTAATTACCCACTTCTCTCACACATCTAGCCAGCTGAACACTGCTGGAAGAAATCTCATAATTCTGCCGATTTATGCCAATGCACATTTATGGGGTCTAATCCCAGCTGGGTCTTTAACACTACTTGGCAGCTTTTACTTGTACCAGATAAACACTCACACCCTTTCTCACGATGGCCACTCCAACCCTTCTGTAATGATTCTTTGAGCTTTAAAAGTTTTCATGTGTTAGAAACATAATTGCACAAATTTTAATTCATAGCCTCCAGGATTTTTATCCAGTTTCTCCATGTACTTGGGCTCTTGACCCTTTATTTTTTGGATAATTATTTATTTAGAGGCTACCATGCCTGGCATTGGGCTGGGCTCTAGGACCCGACTGTGGTCTCTATTCCCACGAACTTTACAGCCCAGAGAAAAAGACTATCATTCCACAAATAATTACAAATATGATGAGGGACACTAAATGTGTTGATGTGGGGATTTCAGGAAGGCCTCCCTGAAGTGGTGGCCTTTCAAGCGGAGTCCTGAAGGATGATATGTCAGTTTGGAATGCTTTGGGCTGCACACAACAGAAAATCTAACCGACAGTGAAACCATAAGGATGTTTATTATTTCCTTAAGAAGTCTAGCAAAGGGGCGCCTGGGTGGCTCAAGTCAATTAAGTGTCCGACTTTGACTCAGGTCATGATCTCATGGTCCGTGGGCTCAAGCCCCACATTGGGCTCTGTGCTGACAGCTCAGAGCCTTGAGCCTGGTTTAGATTCTGTGTCTTCCCACCTCTCTCTCTGCCCTCCATGCTCACTCTCTCCCTCTCTCAAAAATAAACATTA